ATATTATACCCGTTTCCCTTTTCTTCCAATCTATCCTTTAGATCGTTAGGAGTAAATAATATATTATACTACAATAATTTTTACCATCTATTTACTTCAATTTAGGATCTCGTTACTTAGCTTACACTGTTTATATTTTAATGTACTTAATGTTTATAATTTTAATAAGTTTATTCGCATTGTTTATAATTTTTTGTCTAAATATTATGTAACATTCTCAATTCTCCATATTTTTTTGTATCTTGTTCGTTCCAGCCCTGAAGAAGACCTGCAAAGTCAGGTCGAAACGTTGGCTTTTAAGAAAATAGTTTCGCCACTATTTAGTCTATTTATGACCGCCACCCTGGACCATCTCCTTCCTTAATAATACAACGGTAAACTATTAAGTATTCAATTATTATATTAAAAGTTTTTTCTTAATTATCGGTGCATGGATTTTCAATTAGCTAGTTCGTTATAAGAAAGTTTCTAAACTCAGTTTAGATAAGAAATTAATGACATCGATGAGCTTAGCGCTGAATTTAAGTACTTTTACTATCAAATAAAAGTATCATGTTGATGCGAATAACTTAGGTTTATTTATGTTCAACTTCAAAGAAGATGAAACAACACATTTTTTAGTTTTACACATTGCTTAAAAAATTATTAAATTTTATAATTCTGATTAGTGACCCATTCATTTCATTTAAGCAGTTTAGTAGACATTCCAAACCATTAAACATGAATTCTATTAGCACTAAATTAATTCGGAAATGGAAATGCAAGGAGCCGAATCTCCCAGACGAACAGATCAAAGACGGTAAATTCTGGCAAACTGCTGATAGAGGAAACACCCCCGCAGCATTATACAGGGTTTAACACCGCGTGACTCGTAATCAGATCGTAAGGTTTCCAGTTACAATACCCGTATATTAAGGCCGTTCAACCCCATTACATATCTTAATATTCAAAATCTCGCGTATAACATCGATGCAAACAAATACGATTAATTTCAGAACTGGAAGCCAAAGGTTACATGATACCTAAAGAGGTAAGATACATAATTTATTACTATAAATTCAACAAATACTAATATTACTGCTGGTAATTAATAATTCAGCAAACAAACAATTTTATTTTAACTAACAAAGAAATCAGCTAAAAATGTTAATGTTTACGTAATCATATCTAGGAAACCACTACTATGAAGCCATATCATGTATAAAGGGAAAGAGCTCCAATTTATATTAAGACTCTCCAGTCACGAGTTTGTTCCTTGCGAAACACCTGACACGAAAAAATAAGGAGAATATTTAGAAGTTGAAAGAAACTAAAAAATATGAACCTTTCACTTGACAGAAAGACTAACTCCAATTTCAACATTTATTTATTATTAATTTTAATGATATTTCCAGTGGCAAAACTTATACCATTATTCACAGTTCGTTATTTCAACACTGGAATCACCTACTCTGGAATCAACTTACTCACTGCTCACTGGTTGTACAGATATATAAATTTTATAACTAGAAATATCACTAAAATAACTTTACTCAAAAATGTTGAATTTGGAGTTAGTCATTCTGTCAACTGAAAGGCTCATATAATTATTTGTTTGAGGTTATAAATTTAATCTTTTAATTGAGAGACAAACTGTATGTTGATTAAGTTTATTAAATGTAGACAGTACTATAAAAATTAGGGACTCTTTTTTTTTTAATTCGATTTCAGTCAACCAACTTCGTATATCGTTCGTATACTGAGTTGAGGTCTACACAAAGCCCTAAGACTTATTTCCCGTAGGTGTGGCGGAATGTATTATTTCTTAATATATATATATATATACAGATATATATATATATATATTTATATATATATATATATCTGTGGCATATGTGTATAGCGTGTTAAGTGCAATTTCGTGAATTTTTATGGGTATAATGGCCTAAGTAATACGCCTATTACAGAGATGAATATTCCTTTGTGAATCATGGGTTGAACTAGCACCTATGAAAATACCAAACTTCCAATTGCGTTTTCCAAAAATACTATTTTTACATTTAACACACTACGGACAGTATATATCGCCCATACAATAGAAAACTATGGAATCTGAAAATAACCACTTTAATATCATTATTAATGCAGCCCAAACAACGAGGATGTTTTAATATCCACACTAATTTCAGCTTCTATGAATGTTTGAAGATTTTGTACTCGCTCTTTAAAAATATTTAATTACAATTCAAATCGCTAGAGTGCATGATTGAATTGTTTTCATATTCCATAGTTAGGATTTGTATCGATGATATATAGTTTTTTTTTATTTAAGTTACCAATTTTTTTAATATTGATTCTCATATTATTTTGAAACTTTGTGAATGAAAGAAATTTTTTTAATCCATCAAAAAATCTGTTTTAAAACAAAATTAAGAAATAAAGGGAAATGAATGTAGGCATAAATAACTCTAAAAAAACCAAGGCAATGGATTAGGTTGTCGGATGTTGGTGGAAGCTTTTAAAGACCACCGAGAGAAATAATCATAATATTATTAGATAGTATTAGAATAATTAGTATAATAATCAAAATTTATATTGAAGCAATGGAAAAAAACAAGAAAACAACAACAATATATTCAATATTATTTGAAAATGATATAAAAATAAAGAAGTGGTCCGAACAGGATATTTGCATATTTAGAAATAATAATTCGATCGAATTTGGAATCTTATTATATTACTTTTAAAATAAAATATATTATTATTATAAAGATTTATATCAGAAGTTCTATTTTTTTTTCAAAAACGTATATAAACAATTTCAGCAGGTTATGCTCAATTTCAGATATGAAATACAGAGGAATATTTAGGTAAAAGAATTTCCCAGATAGAAATTTATTACAACTCCTAGCCCTTTTCTCCCTTCTGAAAATGTTGGATTGAGAGCATATAGGGCTGTATATTGCATTTATAGGCTACAAGGAGGTTCCTTTATTTAGTGTTATAGCCTTTAAGATGGAGAAGAGTCTCTATAGCTCATCATTGTTTAAAGCAATGGTTTTAAGAATCTATAAAGAGTACTATTTTCATAAATAAATGTAAGGCACAGAGAACTCAGATAGTAGTATAGGGAATACCACACCCACGTACTGGATTTGAGAAGTGGGGAGTAAAAGTTGTTACAGTTGGAATTCGACATTTAAGGTTAAGAAATATGTCAGTAACATTCACAAGCTTTCGCTTTTATTTTCGCACGAAGTGCAAACTTATTTTATTTTTTTTTTAACTTTTATTATAATATTTACAACCGTATTAGTATGAATATATCAAGTAAATGTGTACAGAGGAATATAATCACATGAAACACGCTTGTTGAGAAACTACCCTTTGGTAGCACTCTAGTAATTTGTCTAAATGAGGAGATCACGAGGCCATCTTCTTTTCAGACGCCTTGGAGGGTTATCAGGAACCGAAGAGGAAGCAAGGTTAGAAACAAGAGGATTCGGATGGTTATGAAGTTTATTATGGAAGGATAGGTATCTGGATTTGGCCAAAGCGGGAACATATGAAACATTGAGGTCTTTATGGATTATTTTATTTGTGACAAGGAGCATTGAGGATGCCAACTTAATATCGAACACTACAAAAGTGAATACCGTACTTAAAAATATTTTTAAAACTGATGAAGTCATCAATTAGAAGAAAATAGTTTGTGGCTGTGAAAGTTCGGTTGTATTTTTATTTGTATATGATGATTTTATATATATTTTTGAAATTTTATTTTATTTTTATTTTTTATAAACAAATGAACTTAAATAAAATAAAATTAAAATTAAATTATTATTTATAATTAATGTACTTTTGTAGCTGAATTTCCATTCCATATGACTTCCTATCCTAAGTCGAGACACTAATTTAAATATTATACTAATGTATATTTGTTTTATACATTTATATATTCCATAAATAAATAAATAAAATATAAAAAAATATGAGAATTAAAGTTTTCAAAAATAAACTATTCTACAATTTAAAAACCACGCTCTTGAAAAACAGTATCTTATTTAATTTTATTTTTTGTGATGATATAATTTAATCTGAGGTTGTACTCATGAATATATTCAACGAAAAAAAATCACTAAAAATTAAAATTATTTTATTTTATAATGGATAGAAGGAACTGATAAAGAGCTATTGCCATAAAGAGGTATTTGTATGAGAAAATTGTATCCGTAATCCACTAAATTTAAAAGAAATGTTTGCTAGCAAAAATTGTATAAGTTTCTTATCGGATTCGGAACGATAATTTTTTCTCCTAACATTTACTAAACAGATTATTCTGAAAAACAGCTAGAATGTAGGTTGGACGGGGAAGGTAGTCTTGCTCAAACAAACGTTGGATCTTGGAAATCCGCATTCTGCAACGGTATCAGATGACATTCTGAATATTAACCACGAAATCTAGTTGAGTCACGTCGTCTTATTGTCTGACGGTTTCGAAATAGTTTCCAAGCTGAAGTTTCAATATCTGCCATTGATCTTTAGCAAGGAACGGAAAAGAGAATTGAAATTCATTCAGAATTGTAAGGTTTCATAGAAAATTTAATCGCTAGAAGAAAATCAAGATCATGATTCAATTATAGGCTGTGGTGCAGACCGTTTTTTATCAAATTATTAACATCCGCCTGAAAATTTTTAAAGAATTATTTACCAAATTTTAGGCGGATGTTAACCCTACTATAATAGGGTGTATAAAAAAAATACCGTTATATGGAATTCAAGATTTCACTGTAAATATTTTGATCCTATTTAACACTTACCAATGCTTAATAATCTCTTTAGAGCATTCTCTAAGCTTGTTTAATCGACTTCTTCAAAAAAAGCTTCATTTTATTTATCTGTTTCAAAGAAGAAACATGACTGTGTCCTACGAAATTTTCGTAATTTTAAGGCATTACTGCAAAAAATCCACAGCCACTGAAGCAACTCGTAAAATTAATAAATATGAATGGGAATGTGGCCTAGACCAGCGCACTGCGCGGCGTTGGTTTGAAAAATATAGCAGTGGAGATACGACGTTGGAAAGGAAGTGGATATTGATGAGGTTCTGCAGGAAGCGGTTGAGTCAAATCAGTACACGAGAACTCGCAAACTTGCCAGAGAGTGTGTTGTGTCGCAGTAGACTGATCTATCAAGAACCTACTCCTCAGCAATCAGCTATGAGGTTAGAAATTTGTGAAAATTTATTGAAAACCTCTTCAAATATTAAATCCTGCCTCATCCAACATATAGTCCAGACCTCGCACAATCGGATTACTATTTGTTTAGATTCATGACCTATTTTCTTCAAGGGATAAAATTTAATAATTTTGCGGAAGTTAAAATTGAAGTCCAAGAGTTCTTTAACAGCCATGCCAGAAATGGTATTAGTGTGGTATAGAGCAATTGGCTAGCAGATGACTAATGGCGGTAGATAACAATGAACTATACTTTGAGTATTAATTGTATTTTATATCATACAAATATTTGGTTGAAAAACGGTAATTTTGTTTATACACCCTATTAGTCTTCATCTCTCATCGTCACCTACAAATATTTTATTTACGGAAATTCTCGAAATTGGGGCGTTTTTTAATCTGGAGATCGTCGAACTTTTTTTATTTAATTAGGTGATAAAAACTCGTAAATACCCTTTTTCTTTCCACTTGAATAGTAAGATAATTTAAGCACAAACTCGAGAAAAAAGGTGGCCTTAAAAAATATTAAGGCGTTTGGCGTGGCCTGCACTCCCTAAATGTCAAAATAACGAAGTTGTATAGGCCAACGGCCCAATATTTTTGAAAGCAAATTTTTTTTCTCGATTTTGTGATCAATTTATCTTACGATTCTAGTGAAAAACAAATGGGTTTATACGAGTTTTTAGTATCTAATGAAATAAACAAAGTTTGCTGACCTCCAAATTGAAAACCTCCCAATTCCAAAAATTTTATTAAATAAAATATTTGTAGGTTACGATGAGATGAAGCTATTTACGAAGTTTCAGGTGGGTGTTAATAATTTGATAAAAAGAGGTCTGTACCACGGAAAATTACATCAACATTAAGTAAATGTTCGTATATAATAAAAACAATAAAGTAATATTAATGGTGTGAAAAAAGATGTAAGCAATCGAATGAGAAAGGAAAAAAGTGTCTCGTTGAAACCGAAAAGCAATCACACCACAGCCACCCTACTGGCGAAGTTAAATACCGGAAAATAACTAAATGAAAACTGTAGATGCCTTCTCTTTTCTTTTCTTTTTTCGGAATGTCCAAACAAACCATAGCCCACTCTCTCCCAAGACCATCGAAAGTGTTGACCGCTTCCTTGGCGCCGGTTAGGCAACTCGGACGTGGGCTTTGTGAATCCGCAGGAGTCAGGGAGGAAGAACGCGGGGGATGAGTAGGCGTATCGGATCCAGGCATGCTTCTGTCCGGGTGAAAGAAGGCGGGGGAGTAGTTAGGAATGTGTTACCATCACGAACTGACGGACATCCTTCAGGGGTAATCACATAAACAAGGAAATATCTCACATTGTATCCACAATAAGTAAACATAATGCGAGAAAAAGTAACACTAAACACCATTCTCACGGTTTCTTAACACCAACACAGCTTCCATATCTTCTATCACTTTCCCATATACCATCATACTCAGGTATACTGTAACTACTGTTGTTGGCTGCTACGTAGGGTACCAATAGAGACAGAATATAATACCGAGAGAGTCTCCTTGTTCCAGTTTCACAAGAGGTAATTACTACCCCCTGGCGTTGTTTCAAGCTGAAGCTATTGTTAGTAAACAATTCGACCTGGATATCACAACCTCTCTGCTGACAGTATAATAAGGTATCAATATAAAAGAGAAAAGTCTCAAAAATAAATATACATAAAATATTTGGTTATAATTGAAAAACATTCAAACACAAGGATATGAGTCCCTGATACAAATGCAAAATAACAAATCAATGTTTCGCCAATTCAGGCATTATCAGGACATTATAGGAAAACAATCTAAATTATGTATATGCTGAGAAAGTAAATATCTCTCATTATTAGCCCAAAAAGATACATTAACTTCCAGACAGTGTATCGCTTCATGACACTTAAGCATATAGTGGTGGGAAGGAGAGATAACTCATAAAAAACTGATCAGCAAAAAAGAAAAAAAGCCGATGAAATAAAACAAAAAAAAAAAATGAAAGGAAAATTAGCTAGATTTACTTGTCTTTCCCAAGATGCTCAACGTTTCAGAACACAAACTATTCAAATTTCTACTATCAGTCTTGTAATTAACAGAAACATTCAAATTATGTAAAGACCAAATACCATTCTTTCTACATACCTCGAACATTATCAAAATTATTTTCTCATGGTATAAGAGACACTTTTAAATATATTGATATTTATGAAATACTAGCTAAGAAAATTAACAATGAAATGTTATAGTCGCTCCAAAGATAGAATATTAGCCTACCAAAAATATGATGTGGTATATGAAATTTGGGGTGCACATTGTCCTAAGGCAATTCTAAGGTATAATATAAATCAGGAAAATGAACCAATTATTACAAAAAAAAAAGAAGTCAGAATTTTTAATTATTTAGTAATATTATATTCCATCACTTAGACAATAAGTATAGGGAGATAAGACCACATTTATACTATATATACATAAAAGATAAAATATACAGAAGATAAATAACAAATAAATAATAATCAAAAAGTATATATAATAAAATAACTTAAAGATGTGTAAATTGAAAAGAACACCTTCAAACCTGTATACACTATTTACAACCAGACGAGAGAACTCCGAGGCATTCTTGTCCCTCTAACTGTGGAGGAAAACACAGGAATACAGGAGATCCCTGCGATACTCTCTCAACCACGTCACTGGGTCTAAGCCCAGTGGAGGTTGAGCAAGTGCTCTCATATACAACAAAGAAAACAAATGTAATTGCATCAATACGATTGCAAGAATATTAACAGGAGCAAACCTTTTGATAATAGAGCCAACTTGATAATATTCGAGTTACGTAGAAACAGAGGAATAGCTATAAATGAAAGATGTTTGCTGTTCTAATGATTAACTAATATTATAAAATCAATTCATATTGTTAATAATCATGAAGCATAAAGAATTTATTGAACTGCAAAAACAAATAAAGATCTTGTTTAACATAACACGCGTTGCGATGCATATAATCAGTATACCACAATCCATAGACATTCCTAGTCCTATTACTTCCTACTAAGTAATAGAAAGCTCACGAGAAAGGCGCGGCGACAATCACGATGCTCTCTTTCCCAATCGACGCGGCAGCACGATGAACAATAGAGGCTAAGATACCAGAACAGATACTATAGGGGGTGGAAAACTGGAGCAGATAAGGGAATGCGGGAGTGCGGGCTTGCCTTGAACCAAGAGACCTGGATACCGACAGCGCCGATCATGACGGCTAACAGGAGCAAGGGAATAAATTGTTGTTCAAGGACCTCTAAAAGGCAACGGCTTTCGAATGCACGAGGGACCAATTGGTCTTCGAGACCAGTTACGCAAAGCATTCATTGTCTGCTGAGAAAAGGTCGAGATTTAGGCAATAATGGTTATGTACTCCTTCCTGGTATGGGTGTGGAACGGCAATGGAACTCAATAATTAAATTTACAACTTACATGAGTTAAGTAATATAAATTTAGTATCGGTAATAACAACAATGGTTATGTTACAAGCGCATGTATTGGACAAACTGGGAAGTTATAACTTGTTCTGGCAGAGACATATCAATTACAATCTGTGCAATGAAATTATCATCTCCACTATACATAATACGGCAGAATATCATTTTCCGTCCTCATGAGCGATGGGCACTGATGAAGTGAAATATCAAACGAAAAGAAACTTCACAGAGAATTAATGGATGCCACCCAATACAAATCCAAAATTAAAATAGGTTTTATGAGGTAACGAGTGTGGATTTCATATCCAAATTCAACTCCGATGATTGGGTTGAAATACATTTAGCAAATTTGAACATATGGATATAATAACGTGAAACCATTTGTTGATTAACTACCCATTGGGTAGAACTCTATTGATATGTCTACATTAGGAGATCACGGGGCAATCTTCTTTTCAGAAGCCTCGGAGGGTTATCGGGAATAGAAGAAGAAGCAAGGTCGGAAACAAGATGGTTTGGATGGTTCCGAAGTTTGTTATGGAAGGACACGTATCTGGATTGGGCTAGGTCTGAAACATAAGGAACATTAAGGTCGTTATGGATCATTTTATTTGTGACTAAGTAAAGAGCAGTGAGGATTTTACGAAAGATTTTGGATTGTGAGGATTGGATACCAGAGGAATAAGATGGCTTAGTGGATCCTCAGAGCTCAAAAATAAGCCCAAATAGGTCTGATTGTAGTCATATATATGAGTATTTTGTAATTAACTGGAAGATTTGAGCGTTTGTCTAGTAAGTGCTGTAGTAGTCGGAAACATCGAGCGGTTTCTTATCATTTCAGTCTGGCATGAGGATTCCCAGCTAAACGCTTGTCTAAGTGGAGTCCAAGGTATCGGATTTGTTCAACAGGGATAAGTGGTGTATTATTAAAGGATACTGTAGGACAGGAGGACATTGGTTTACGATGAAGTGTAAAGGTGATTTGATGGGATTTATTTTAATCATCCAAAAATGTATTTAGTAGTGAATTCCTTTCCATAATAAACTAATAGTTTAGTTATATTTTAATACATATCAGACGATTTGAAAAAGTGCAACTGTTTCTTGAAAAATAGTTTCAAGTCGCTTGTCAAGATAAAATATAAAGGAATAATTTGACAGCGGTATGGAATATTAAAGGGGCAGAATTTAATACCTTTATCACGAAAACATAATAAACACATTATTGCAAACATGGAATTAAATGAATCAGACATTAGATATTTTAAAGAATTACGTTTACACGATTGATGGAAATAAACAAAGTCCCATCGTTTGAGCTGCATAGGGAAAATCGATTCATTATCTGATCCCATTCGTTATTCTCTCAGGATACTCACTCAACGGATGGTCGGATACCGGGCAGATTCGAAGATTGTTCCTATCGACAACAATGGCGATGACTATCGGCTGCAAATTAGGTGGAAATTTATGAAGCACGGGCCAGTGAAGCATTCCGTTCTCTTCGCAGTTTCTTTTAGAAAATTGCTCCCGGGAAGCCTTTGTTACCCGAGAAGAATCGAAAACAATGAAAACTATCTTCAGATAGTACAGGAGATTGAGTCCTTGATTAATGATACATGAATGAAATTAGGTTATCCAATACGAAGCAATTAGTAGTAACAATTTATACAAGGCCGCGAGGCGGAACATGACGAATTTAATGCAGAAAATGTGCGATTCAATTGCATATTAAACCACGAAATATTACAGTTTGAAAACGCCCAAAAATTATGAATTATAATAATAACGTAATTTGAACACCATACAATGAAAATGCCTTAACACTTATTAAATATAGATATTCAAAAGCATAACCTCGCGCGGGCTCATTACCGCGTATGGGGAGCGTCCCATGGGTGGCGGATGTGGGGATGGTCGGTGGAAATTTCTTGGAAGTTCCTCCCGGCTAAGTCCGATGGACTCGCTGACCAACAATGAGAGGGGCCCTCCAGACTTGCTGGAGGGAGGGGACCTCCAGACTTGCTGGAGGTAGGGGCCCACCAGTCTTGCTGGAGGGTGTGACGTAGGATTGAACGCCCTACTCACATATCTTTAGTTCACCAAACACCACAAAAAGTCATGGATCTTCCTAAGGTAAAACGCTCATTATCCGGAAGTAAACTAGTCCCCCGTTCGGGTCTCCGGGTGGGGACTGCTTTAGGGGATTCATGGCGCAAGTTGAAATATAGGGATTTAAATATTGGTACGTGGAACGTAAGGAGTTTAAACACAGCAGGGGGGCTAAAATCGGTCGCGAATGAGGTAAATGGGTACAATTTGGATGTCGTGGCTCTGCAAGAGGTTCGCTGGCCAGGGGAGGGCTCGATGAGGGAAGGGAAGTACACTATTTGGTACGGAGGAAGCGGGAATCATTGTTTAGGTACCGGGTTTCTAATTAGGCGTAGATTACTATCCGCTTTGAGGGACGTACAATTCTTTAGTGATAGAATTTCGGTAGCTACATTTCAGGGACGTTGGTTTAAAATCGCATTAATAAACATACATTGTCCGACCGAAGACAGTGACGATGAAGTCAAAAGTGAATTTTACGATAAACTCGAATGGGTTTATGATAAACTACCACGAAACTACATGAAAATAATTGTAGGTGACGCGAACGCAAAGGTAGGAAGGGAAGAAGTTTATATTCCGACGATTGGTAAAGAAAGTTTGCACGAATATAGTAATGATAATGGGATCCGTCTGATAAACTTTGCCATCTCGAAAAACCTGATAATTAAAAGTACGACGTTTAAACATAAGGATATTCATAAATATACTTGGACATCACCGGATTCGCAAACACGAAATCAAATCGATCATGTCTTGATACAACACAGCTGGCAAAGTAGTATAATTAATGTACGGTCTTATCGCGGAGCAGAATGTGGGTCGGATCATGAATTAGTAATCGCGAAACTTCGACAAAAACTTAATATAAAAAAGAGAAAAGAAAACCGTTTCGATTTTGAGAATTTTAATTTGGAAAAATTAAAAAATCCATCAATTAGAAACCAATTCGAGCTAGATGTTAAGAATAGGTTTGAAGCTTTAGAGCTTCCTGACGAGGACCACGAGGATATTGACAAGTTATGGATAGAGATCAGAGATAATATTAAAGCGGTCGGTAACTCGTGTCTAGGAAAAAAGGAAAATAAGAATAACAAACCGTGGTTTGATGAAGATTGCTTAAACATGTGTGAAAAAAGAAAAGCCGCTAAATTAAAAGCTCTAAATAATCCTAGCGAAGACAATCTGGAATACTTCCGAATCTCAAAGAACGAAACGACAAAATTGCTCAAAAATAAAAAAAGGGAGTATCTTAAAAATAAAATAATTGAAATAGAAACTAATAGAATCGAAAATAACGTAAGAGACATGTACAAAGGTATAAACAGATCACGTAAATATGTAGGGCCCGTAACGTCTGGAATTAGGGATGATAATAACAATATTCTGACCGATCCGGTTGACATATTGAATAAGTTTAAGGACCACTTTGACAATATTTTAAATACGGGAAATTATGATCTGTGTCCTCCTTCTGAGTACCAGAGTGCTGAACCGTTAATAGAAGGACCAACTAAAGAGGAAGTTGAAGTAGCTATCGGAAAATTAAAATCATATAAAGCAGCGGGAATCGATAATATTCCTACTGAACTAATTAAGGCATGCGGAGAAGCTGGAGTTTCTAAAATACATCGGTTGGTTAAAAAGATCTGGGTGAACGAGAAATTACCTGAAGAATGGAAAGAATCTATTCTTATTCCGATTCACAAAAAGGGTCCGAGGACGGATTGTAATAACTATCGAGGAATTTCACTCCTTCCGGTATGTTATAAAATATTCACTTTAATCTTAACCAGTCGAATCACGGAATACGCCGAGGAAATTATCGGAGACTACCAATGCGGATTTAGACGGAATCGTTCGACTATTGATCAAATATTTTCTTTACGGCAAATATTAGAGAAAAAATTGGAGTATAACGGTATTGTTCACCAGCTGTATATAGATTTTAAAAAGGCTTACGATTCTATTGACCGCCAGAAATTGTATAATATTCTAATCGAGCAGGGGATTCCAAAAAAACTAGTAAATCTAGTCAGGATGTGCTTGACGGAGACACTCAATAAAGTTAGAATCGGTAATAATTTGTCCGAAAAATTTGAGGTTCGTTCGGGCTTAAAACAGGGGGATTCTCTTTCGCCTGTCCTGTTCAATTTGGCATTAGAACATGCCATTAGGGAGGTAATGCGAACCGAGAAAGGGTTGGATCTGGGCGGGACAACATCCGTGCTGGGCTATGCTGATGATCTGGTACTGTTAAGCGAAGACGTTGAAACTATAAAACTGAATACGACAACGTTAATGAAAGCCGGGAAAGAACTAGGACTCGAAATAAACGTGGATAAAACAAAATATATGGTTAGCTGCAAAAATGGCGATATTACTGGTGATATTGATATAGATGGTAATATCTTTGAACAGGTAGATAAGTTTAGGTATCTAGGTTCTACGATAACTAGAAAAAACGAAATTGAAGAAGAGATTAAGGTTAGACTGAAGGCGGGGAACGCTTGTTATTTTTCTGTGACAAAACTACTTAGTTCGCGCCTCTTGTCCCGAAACTTAAAAATTAGAATCTATAAAACAATTATCTTACCTACAGTTCTTTATGGATGCGAAACTTGGCCGCTTACATTAAGGGATGAGCAGCGTCTTAAGGTTTTTGAAAATAAAGTATTGCGTAGAATATTCGGACCGAAAAAGGATGAGTTAACCGGAGAGTTCAGACGGTTACACAACGCCGAATTGCGTGAGATGTATCCGGGTAATATAATTGAGGTAATTTCATCGCGGCGAATCAAATGGGCTTGTAAAGTTGTTGGGCTTAGTAACGAGAGAATTCCTAAAAGGTTAATATTTGCTGTGCCGAATGGTAAGCGTCCGAGGGGTAGACCGAAGCGAAGATGGGAGGATTGCATTAAAGCCGATCTGAAGGGACTGGGTTTGGACGGCGAACGGTGGAGGGAGGTGTGTAACAAGCGATTGGTGGTGTCGGCATCGAACCTTCGGGTTCGCTAAGCCTTATTATTATTATTATTATTATTCAAAAGCATAAAATACAATATGGCTACGAATAAAAATTGTCTTCTTCAAACAGAAGTCAGTTGGGGAAGTGAGTTTTATTGGGCAGTCAATATTCAGTTTATAATATTATTTATCTGAATATATGATATAATAATATGTTCTCATTATTTTTAAAATTCACTACAACAGATTCTTTAGCATTCTTTACTGTTTTACATTTCCAAATCTTTTGTTCCTTATGATAAATAACATTTTCATTTTTTTTTTTTTTTTGTTTGGATCTTGATGAAATTATAACATTTAATCATTAAACGATTAAAGTTTCAAAAAGACCACATGACTAAAGGCTCATTTACACGGTGCCAGTTGGCTTGCCAGTCGAGGTCGCCAGTCACTCAATGCCAGCGACTGGCAACGTGTAAACGGTTCATGCCAGTCACTGGAGAGGCCAGCGAGGCACTGGCAAGAAAATTTTGATTGACTGGCGCACTGGCAAGCGCCTACTTGGAACTAGATATGACTAACCAGCAAAACAAATCATTATTTTAATATCTTTTTTTTAGTTATAAAAATGTATACAAACTTATAGTCCGTGGCACAAACTATAATATAGACTATAATGTAAATAAATATATATATATATATATATATATATATATATATATTATATATATATATATATATATATATATATACATATTTCAAATTTATATTATTTGAATGTGAATTTAAAAAATGTCATCCCATCTCAGCCCAGTTTAGAAGTTTTAATATTTTTATATAAATATTTAAGTGATGGTAAAATATATAATATTAGATTTTGGCTCAAGCTGTAGTAATATTGTGTTATAATAATAACTATAATTATTATTGAAATATTAAGTAGAAAGAAACCAAATGATTCTCTTTTTTTTAATTCTTATTTATTTATTTATTTATTTTTTTTTATTAAAACGAGATATCTGCTTGTTAAGAAAAACTGTAATTAAAGGTATAGAAAAACACCTTAATGACTTAATAATGTAGTATGATTTCATTTGATTCTAGTGCTTTCATCTTATTCATTATGGTTCAAAATTATCCTTTAAGTATGCTATATATAATAGACTTTCACTAACTATACTTATTACTACGGTTAAGGTCCCCGGATTCCGATATTCGTCTAGACTGCCAAGTGGCCGGGATTGTTTCGAATTTTGTCTATCTTACAAAGCCTATAAAATTTTAGTTTTTAGAAATATTTGAATGGGAGCCAGATAGATGTAAAGATGCTAATTTAAATAATCATTATATACGATATGAAGGTGTAGTACGCCTGGGACCGATACCGCTTGAGACTGATTAAATATGATTTCCGCACGGCAGCATCCCCCGACATCCGATACATATTCCTGACGTGACAGAACAGTGCTCACGCATGGTGATTGAGATAATGTTTGGAACGTTAGAGGTCAATTCTTGGATTATCTTTAATATGAAAAAAGAAA